TGGATTTTTTTAAAAAACATTGCAATTTCCAATATTTTTCCTGTATGAAGAACTAAGGTTGCTATGATCCATCCATAGCCTATGGAGAATGACAGTGACAGTTTTGTTGAATCATCCCATACTTGGACATGTCATATACAGCTTTCAAAAGCTATCAAATTTTTTTTGTTAATTAATGTGTTAATTTTGAGGTGTCTTCTTACTTTTAAAAATGTCTCCGACTGATGTTGCCCTTTGTACTTTACTTCTTATGACGTTTAAAATACTTGCCACGTGATACTGTGACCGTCCATCCTGGATTAAATTAATAGCTGTGGCAGCATCAGTCGGAGACATATCCATTTTATAAAGTAAGAAGACACCTCAAAATTTAAACATTAATTTGCAAAAAACAATTTGATAGCTTTTGAAAGCCGTGTATGACATGTCCCAGTATGGGATGATTCAACAAAACTGTCACTGTCATTCTCCATAGCCCATGGATGGACCATAGCAACCTTAGTTCTTCATACAGAAAAATATTGGAAATTGCAATGTTTTTTAAAAAAATCCATATTTTCCAAAAAAATAAATATATCGAGGTGAACCAAAAACAAAACTGTTAAGAATAGATGTGACTTGATAAATAAAACTTAATTTAGAACAATATACGGTTTTTCCACTCTACAGAGTGTCTTAAACTTATGGTAAAAAACATCTTTTTGTTTAAACCTGTATATTATAAACGTACGTCTATTTTTTAGTATTTTTTTTTTAATGTGAGCGATTGTCCATTAATTTATCTACAATATTCTTTAATAATCGTTTAAATCCGACATTAAATAAAAAAGTTATTTGCGATTGAAATTCATCGAAAATTTGTGTGAGTCGATTATTTTGCACGTGAGTGTATAAAAAAAAATTTCAAATCTAGAATTTAAAATACCAAAATCAATTATCTCAATTTACTCAGTTTTAGTCTGACGGGAGATTGTTGACTTTGCTCTGACAGGCCTTACATAATACTTCATTATTTCAAAGTAAAAACGAAAAAAAAATATTTTTTTACAAACGGGGCTTGGATGAAGTTATTGAAATTTTTCACCCTTTTACATATCACCCTGTAGGAAATTTACTTGAGAACGGTGGGCTTAATATCTATAGCATATGAATTGCCAGAGGATGGGGTTAGCAGACATCACAGACCAAAATAAAATCGTTCAAGAAACAAAAAAGTTATGTCGTTTTGAAAAAAGGAGGAACTTTTTGGTCGCGACACATTGAGTGGTGCACTTATTTATTTTGGTCAAAATAGATTTTTAAAATACAAAATTAGATGATATTTTTTGTTCTAATACATTAACCTACCTTTGATACAGATATTCTTATTTCATAATAGAGAAGTTAGATTTTTTTTAATAAATGCTGTTTAGTTAAAACTATTTTATGGAGAAATGTAGACCCAATTGGGCATTAATGCACAAAAATATCACTTATATTGCACCTTGCACTTTGGAATTTCATTAAATCCAGTATTTATATTCCTAAATTCTTAAACCAACCATTGTTATTTTGATACTATAAAGATTAAACATAAGCGGTAACATTATTTCTTTAATTGACTATACTGTGACAGATACATAACCTAAAAAGCCTTAAATGCCAAATTTTCACCCTTTATTTTCGCCAGGGTGCAATATAATAGAAGACAATTTAAAAACGATTTGGAATAATAATTTAAACATAATTTAAATTCTTAGAAGGATAATTTTTTCTTACCCTTAAAAATTCTCAATACATTATATGCCTACAACCACATAGCTTACCCATCCCTCACATGGTGCAATGCCCAGGTCCGGATTAAGAAACATGTAGGCCCGAGGCTATTTGATATTTTGAGGCCCTTATTTTCTTGAAAGTAAGAATTTTTAACTTGGTTACATGAAGACAATGGCAATAAATCGAAATTAAGTTTATACGAAACTGTTTCAATTTACCAATTACCTATTGAAAATGAGAAAAATGTTATAGTCGTGCCTCCCGAACTGCAATATGTAACTCTTTAAAAAAAATTACCATCATCGTAGATACTTGGGTTAAAAAGTGTAATGTCAAAAAAAAATTACTTAAGGCTCTGGATGGTGTTTTAATGGCAGTGAAAGTCTGTTTTGGTAAAAAAATAAATAAAAATTATTTAGACCAAATAAACAAACCTATAAAAGATTTTGAAGACCTACAAATCGGAGTAACTCCCAAGATACATGCGATTATTTATCATGTGCCTGAATTTGTACCAAGGTTTGGAAATTTATCCAGAACAGGCATTTGAAGCTGCTCATGCTAGCTGCTTATGCAAAACTTTTTGGGCATGATATAAGTTGGGTAAAAAGCACCCATAATACCCAAAACGTTTAGTTAATGAAATTATTGCATTTTTAATTTAATATGGTTGATAATTAAAAGCTTGTTTTTAAGGGTAGTTTTAATTAATTAAAACTACCCTTAAAAACAAACTTTTAATAATCAAACATATTAAATTACATATAGGTACACCGCGTTGTATTCATCTTTGGTAAAGTTTATCTGACCTATAACTTTCATGTCTTAAATAAACCAAAAATGTATAAAACGGCCCTAAATTAAAGAAATATGATTTATTTTTAAATTAAAACTTCATTTCAAACATAATTCTATCGTGCCATGCATGGCACGCTTAGAATTATTGTTTAACAATACAGTAAAAGATATCAAAAAATTGTATAAACCTTTTTTTAGGAAATTATTTTTTTTTTATCTGATTTCAAAAGGAATTATATTATTTAAATAATATAATACAGTTTTAATTGGATAATTGAAAGATTGCATAATATTTTCTATAAACAGGTAATTAAAACAAAACCAACCGTCAGATTTTTTTTATTTTGCTCTTTTAAAATTTTTTAAATACGACCTAATTAACAAGTATTAAAAAAAAAAGGTTTCACAGAAAGTGCGAAAATCACCTCTCAGAGCAGCACCGTGTGCAGTTTAAAAATCTTGAAAAAAAGTGAATTTTGTACAGGGCTGCTCTTTGATGTTGTCAACAAGCTAGTCTGGCTTTTTATATCCTGCAAATAAATTGGATCCTACTTTAATAATTCAAAGAAGTTAATTAAAAAGTCTTTTTAACAATTTTTTTAAGTAATCTATAAACATATCCGGATAACAATCGGGATTTCCTGGTGAAGTCATGATGATATCACAACGTGATTTTTTTTATTACGCTGTGATATCCTGAGTGCATACACATGCTTTATCACAGTGATATCATGTAGAACTCACGGTGTGATATTTTCAAAAATTGCGCATGCGTATGAGCCCTGCGAACACATTACACCGTTATAATTTATAAAACGTTATTTGAATATCACGAATGTTGTCCGGGTTAAATTAAAAAAGATATTCCAATGTTAAACAATTAACGGTACTAGTAGTCTTTTTAAATAAAAAAATTAATTTTTAAGGAATTAAACAGTCAACCACGATACCTAATTTTGTCTAATAAAAACCTTGTTAAACAGCTTTTGTTTAGAACTACTTATAAAAATTTTACATTAGTAATATAATAGAACAATGTTATTTTGTAAATAAAAACTTGCAACTGTCCCATCCGTTACGCGTGGAATGGCCGTATACTTTTTCTCTCAATGTACGAATGTGGCGCAAAATAAATATCCAAACACGGATGGCATAAAAAATCACGACATGATTTTTTATGCTATCGGTGTTTGGGCATAAAAAATCACGACATGATTTTTTATGCCATCGGTGCACCGACATGTTTGGATATTTATTTTTGCGCCACATTCGTACAATGTGAGAAAATATATGTTAACAATTGAATTAACAGTTTTTGCGGTTAAATACATTTAATACTTTCTTGGATGTAAATTAACTATTAATTTAAATCCAAAAAAATATTGAATGTATTTAACCACAAAAACTGTTGATTCAATAACATATATATATGTAGGTATACTTTTTCTCTCAATGTACGAATGTGGCGCAAAAATAAATATCCATCGATGGCATAAAAAATCACGACATGATTTTTTATGCTATCGGTGTTCCGACATGTTTGGATATTTATTTTTGCGACACATTCGTACTTTGAAAAAAACGTTGAATGAATTGAATCAACAGTTTAACATTCAATATTTTCTTGGATTTAAATTAACTATATATAGTTAATTTAAATCCAAGAAAATATTACCTAAATGTATTTAACCGCAAAAACTGTTGATTCAACATAATTTTTCTCTTAGTGTACGATCGTGGCGCAAAAATTATTATTCAAACACCGTTGGCATAAAAAATCACGACATGATTTTTTGTGCCATCGGTCAATCGCAAACAGCGATGGCATAAAAAATCACGACATGATTTTCATTTCTCACGCAGTGACATCCGGATGATGTCCGTATGAATAAAATTTGTGAAAATCACGACGTGACGTTCGTATGATTTTCATTTATTACGCGGTGACTTCCGTATGAATAAAATTTGTGAAAATCACGACGTGATGTTCGTAAGAATATCACGAATGTTGTCCGGGTAGTGTGAAATAAGCAATTTTATATTATTATAAAGTATTAAGAGGAAGTGGAAAACAGCGTTTTTAATATAAAGAGCAAAAAATATCCCCTTCTTAAAATATTGGTAATAACTTTCTTCCACTGTTTGTTTCACTAAAAGGAAAGCGAGTTAGCCAGCATCATACAATCAATAACAGTTGACGTAAGATGCATATAGTTTTCTTTTTCAACAGCGCAACCTCGGTTTATAAAATTGCATAAATCAACTAGAGGCTAGTTGATCATGAATAATAAAATACAAACCCATAATTTTCCTCGCTATGAACCTGAATAAATTTATTTAGGTGAATCGCTATGAGAAATATTTAAGCTTTTCCTATTACATAATGCCGTCTTGTTCAAAGTTATTGTTTACAAACCTAATTAAAATATGTCCGTGTTTTTCAGATATAAACTTAAAGTCTTGGCTAAAAAGATACGAACCTGTGCATTATGACTCAAGCGAGTTGTCTAAACAACATAATCCTGACAGAAGAGATTTGAAAAAACGTCTTGATACCATTAGATTTGATGTAAAGTGTTACAATAGGTAAGTCAAGATATTAAATTAGATCAATTTTATTCTTTCTTCTAGGGCCCACAATGGAGTATGACTTTTACTTACACGATAATTATGAAAAGTATTCATATTAACGTTAATAGGCCAAGAAGTAAGTCTTTTGTGATAAGCTCAAAGTTTAAAGGCCGACACATAGCCTACAATTGAACGATGCACAAAAAGACCTTCTTGGCCAAATTGCATACATTTTATCTTCAAGGTACAATTTTATTTTTTAAACGATACATGAAACGTACACAACACAGTGCACAATCACGGCCAATTACTGACACCTAAGCCACTGGCGCACTGTGGGCCCTATGCCCAAACTAGGTTGCAATAAGTCATTATTGAAAATGTATAATTTGCCACTATTGTTTTGTTAAAAACATATTCAAACTTGTAAAAACATAATTGCTTTTTAAAAATACTCTACGAAGACTTTTTTTATAAATGCCCAATGTCAGATCTTTAAAAGAAAGTCTATTTTTAATGCAATCGCCGCACTAAGGCATGAAACGGTAAAAAGTCGCGCGCGAGCAATTTTTCTTTATATCTTTGGCTTTCTTGATTCGATTTAAAAGATTTTGGAATCAAAATTCTCGAAAAAGATTTAGTATTTTCCTAAATACAAATATAATAAAAAAACAGTTGCCACTTTGCTGAAAAGTGGTACGAAATCATGATAATTTTTTGTATTTTTTTGCTCTTTTATTTGAGCGAGAGTAAAATAAAAGCAAAAAATCATAGAAAATAAGACCATATTTAAACATATATTTCCTTTACTTTTTAATTTTACTTAGGTTATACAGGATGTCTCACTAAAATGGATAATCTGGAACGAACGTTAAAATAGAAAATATAAAAACGGGTTTTCTGAATAGTAACTAAAGAATCAATAAGAAAAAACAAATTTTATTATAAAAAAAACAAAATTATTTAATTATTATGAATAAGTTTCTGAATCGGTCGATTCTGAATATGAATCTTTTTGAATTAATAAGCATTTTGCTTCCGAGGGCAAGTCAGAAGAAATTTTTTTGTTTTCTCTTAAAGATGATATTAAAGGATCTGAGGTTAAGAGTAAACGATGATAAATGTCACTGAGGTTGTCCTTGGCCCCCGTTCTTCTTGCGAAATACTGCCTGAAGTATCGAATATCCTTGTGTCTCGATTCTTGTGCGTCTTCGCTGAGTAAGCCTAGAGGAACCGTTGAAGATGCCCAGATTAAACTTCCATGGATCAAAACTTTATGTACACTTGCAGGTATTTTGTACCAGTTATATTTTTTTACATACAGTTTTGCAGTTTCTTCTGTGTAACGAGCAAAGGCATCTACATCAATCTCGCAATTGCTGGAATTTATGAGGACTAAAATGATGTGAAAACGATGTATTAAATCCTCATCAATTCCGGTAATTGCTGCTGTTTTTTAAGGATTCGCAAAAAATCTTAGCGCAGTATTTCCATCATTTGTTGTCCCTGCAGTTTGTTTTGGAACATCGACAATTATGCCCAATTCCTTATGAATTTTTCCTGAATTTATTTTTTCTGTATATATATCCTTTCGGCAACTTCCGGGTACCTTTTCGTATCCTTTCTCCATACCTCGGTATTAAGCGTAGATGCTGTAGTATTAAGTCGATAGGAAATATGGAGTAGATATTTCATAAATCCTATATAAGCGTGCAATGGGCTTATCCCGAACTCCAGGAAGCTAGGATTTAACAAACGCGTTTTTACACGATCTATATCATTCATTTCGTTTGGTTTAGCTCCACAAATAAAACATGTCATCATCGATTTCGTATCTGTAATGCTGTTAAATGCTTTTCCATCTAGCATACTTAAAATAAATTTGTAGTGAAAAGCCGTTTCTTCAATAACATCGGGTAAAATGCAAGATATTTCATCCTTAACTCTTTCCATTTCCACTTTAGACGTTTCTGGAGTTTCTTTAGAGATCCGGGTTTATTGTTCTGCCAAATGATTTCTTGATCATCGGATTTAATTTGAATTGGAACAATATGTGAGATGGTTGCGATAGAAATCCCAGCTTAATTATGTGAATTTATTTGTAACAACTTAACAACTCAACAACTTAACAGCAAATAATGTATAAAATATCAGGACTACAAATTGCGACGAGTGGCGTGTAAGTCGGCGTAGGTAAGACTGACCGACGCGTCTTTTCTTCCCGGCTCAGCCACATCTTCCCAGATGCTGTGACACTCGACCTTTGGCCCGGGTTCGTCCATTTGCGGGCAAAGGGGTGTCTTGTCGCTTCTTGCCTTGGGCGAGTCGCCACAAATATTAGTAGCAAGAATTTCTCAAATGTGTTTCAGGTTTGCTGTACTTGTAGCTAAGTGTCGATAGAGGTTGTGCATGGAGCTTGAATCAAATGCCCATTTAAAGAGAACTGTCGCGATAGGATGAAATGAGGCAGGTAGAGATGCCGCAAGTCGAGCAGTTGTGTGACGCGCCATCGACTGCAACTTAACTGTGGCTTCTTCTTCATTTATCGTAATTCCATCTGGATAGCATAATTTTTTTTCTATTGTTAGGGTATCCCAACCCGGGTATCGTATATAATTTATGTGATCTTTACGAAGCTGGATGTATGAACTTCTTGTAAGATCATAATTAAGGTAGCGGACTGAGGCATCTTGAGGAGAGACTTAAAACGGTTCCTGTTTTTTTGAATATCTGTCCCAAATTTTTTTCGCCCTGCCAGGTGACTTATCAAATTCTTGGATAAGCTTTGCACCACTCACATTTCCATCCGCCCTTAATGACATTGCGGTAGAGAACGACAGAATTTCGATTGAGACGGTTGATCTGACCTCTTCGGTGCGCTTTCTTTTTTGCGATAGAGAAATATCTGTAAACATTTTTAATTTTCGCTTTGTAGTTGAAGTCTGGTGAGTGGATTTCATTAGCTGTGCTTCGTTAAAATTTAGAACATTTTTTTTAGCCACTCTGCGTTTTTAGTTTTAAAAAGGTCTTTTTTATATGACCACCTTCGTAGCCTCTACAAAGTATTTTCAACGAAACGACGAATCGCACCCATAATTTTCAGTTCAGCCGAAGTTTTCAAGGTTGGCAATACGCCTTTTAAATATGTTATACATTTTCTATAAAAATTTTCGAAGGCGTACATCCGACTTACATCTATACAAAATTAGAACAAATCTTAAATTAAAAAAATGGTTTTTCGGAATTATCTGTATAACCTTTTATCTTGTACTATAAATAGACCCCTAAATAAGAATTTAAAAAATTATTTTAAATAAAATGCGCTTACACAACCTTTATCTTATTATATGGTAATAAATACTAAATTTTTCCCGCTCACCCTGTAAGCTCACTCTCGAGCACGACTCTTAAATAAGATCGTGGGAGGAAAAGTTCAGCAACAAACTCTTACGAATTTTTAATATCAAATTCGGTATTATTCGGTAATTATGTTTTAATTTTTGTTTATCCAAACATCTTATATAACTAGAAAATACAAAATTTCCGCGGGCAATAACCGGCATCAAAAGTTATAGTAAATATTCCTCAAAAAAAGTATTCAATTATTATAGGCTCAATATTTGTTATGAACAAAATTTTCAAATTGTCCAAGTAAATATAAAATCTTCTTACCTTTATCAACATCAACCATCATTAAAAGATTTTAAAAAAATGAGAAATACGACAAGATTATTTAATAAAATTAAATTCCAAATAGAAGCTATTATAGCATTTGACAACTTGTTGAAGTTTCTTGGCGTGACCTGACGCCACCCAGAGCCTACCATTTTTTTTACATTCTAATAGCTTAGTTAGACTATTAGGAATACTTTTTACGCAAATTGGTAATTTTTATTCGTAAAACTAAATTGCCTTAACGCGCGCCTTTTTGCCATTTCATTCCTTAGTGCGCCGTGAAAAGTCCCCTTAAACATTTTATAACTGACATTAGACCTGTCAATTAGTTGTGTTGGGTACATAAAATTATAGAAAATTCGTGTTTTTTTCTGTTTTTGGGGGTCCAGAACACTATAGCACACTCTGAATTTTCAAAAAAAAAAATTACCATTTGAAAAAGGACGTTTTAAATAGTAAATTTCATAAATAAAAATTGCGGGTTTTTCACTAGTTTTTGAGAAAATTAAGTTTGAAAATGCTTTTTTTGACAGATTTTTTGACAAGAACTGTCATGAAATGCCAGATTCAAAGAAATTCATCGCAATGTTGCCAGATGTAAAATTTTTACGCTGTTTGGGGAAATTTATTATGCAACCCAGATTACATGAAATTATTCCTAATTACATACATACATACATTTTATACCTTTTATTTTTTAAGGAACTTTAATACATACAAATATTTTTTTGTTCCGTCAACGAAGGTCCATTATAAAAAAAATTATCACGTTTTATAAAATATTTTTGGCTTTTCTTTTATTTAATGTATAGCCTTATATAAAACATTTTTTTTTGACAATTTTGATGCCAAAATAATAAATAATAATATATTTTCAATTTTTTTTTACAAAAGTTTTGTGATTTTTGCCCTCCGCGTGATTAAATGGCTGTTTTAATTCTAAATGACTTAATAATATATATATACATATATTATATATATATATATATATATATATATATATAGGCCTAGGCTCTTTAAATTTAATAAATGCCGAGCGAAGCGAGGCGTTCCTGGTCAGCCTGAGCCCAATTTCGCGCGCGCAAAATTGGGCTCAGGCACTGACCAAGCCCGCCTAGGATCTTGGTAAACGTAATTTAATTAAATAAATGCCGAGCGAAGCGAGGCGGGCTTGGTCAGTGCCTGAGCCCAATGTCGCGCGCGCAAAATTGGGCTCAGGCACTGACCAAGCCCGCCTAGGCTCTTGGTAAACGTAATTTAATTAAATAAATGCCGAGCGAAGCGAGGCGGGCTTTTTCAGTGCCTGAGCCCAATTTCGCGCGCGCAAAATTGGGTCAAGC